GGATGCCTTTTGTTTTCTTTTCTTCTCTTATGTAAGCTGTTCATGAGAGGAAAGGAAAAAACCCGATAAGAGAAACTGAAGACCCGAGAGAAGAGGGACTGGGGATGTGTGTCGTTTCGCCAGGATGATGGGTACAAAGTGCCTCGTTTTCTTTTATTGAAAATGGCTGGTCTTCATGTTTCTAGATAGCAGTGTTTTACTTCCTCCTCTGGCATCCTGGGTCTCCCTAGATTAAGCAAGCACCCAGATGGCTTCGCTGTAGCATCTTTGGTGACCACAAGGTGGCACTAATTCTGTGATGGCTGCTACCAAATCTATCATGGGTGGCGCTGCAGAGGAACACAGCCCCCATCCCTACCCCCACACACTCCCATCCCCGTGGCCAAGCAAAAAGCACAAAATAGGATTCAATGTTCCTGGAAAGGTTGCCATGAATGCATGAATGGCTACTGACCAATGTCACAGGACACACAGAACTGTGCCCTCAAGGGTAACTCCTCAGCAATACCGCACTTCTCTCCACTTGGGTGCGCTCTATTGTTCCCTACGAGCGCCAAAGTTTCTGTTTTGTGTGGTTCTTGTTGAGAGGTAGTGTGGGTTCCTGGGGTTGAAGGCAGACCAGGTGTGGCAGGAATAACTTGTGTAGCCTCTGTCTCTTCCAGTGACTCATGCATGCATCTAAGGGAGGACATCAGGGGGTGGGAGGGTGGCAGGTGAAAACCTCACTAAGAGAGTCCCCTAGCCTCATTACCTGGGAGTGCCTTCCTGGTTTAAGATCCCTTTCTTTCCCCATGTACAACTTTGCTATCTTGTGATAGAGAATTCCTTATCAGAAAGACAATATTGCCAGGAGAAGAAAAGCGCAGAGATGTTTGGATTACTTGTTTGTTTCACCAGTGAATACATTAGGAGCTCCTTTGACTCACAGTAGGGTTTTGCCTCAGTGAACCCATTGCAAAAGGAACTCTTGTGAGTTTAAATTGCATTTATTGCATCAGGCCTCGCAGCTCCACCCAGGCTTCCTTGAATAGTTGTGGAGCACTTCCATTAACATACAGTGGTTCAGAGGCATCTAACATAAAGCCCATTTGACTTCATTTCTCAATTAAATACTTCAATTTACTCAAGTGTGTGTGTGTATGTCTGTATGGCTGCCTTCCACAAGTGTGTAGGTGCCCACACAGGTCAGAACAGGGTGTGAAATCCCTTGGAGGTGCAGTTACAGGAGGTGTGACCTGCCAGGTATGAGTGTTAAGACAGGAGCTTGGGTCCTCTGGAAAAGCAGCAAGCACTCTTAACCAACCACAGATCCATCTCTCCAGCCCTGCCTTGTTTATAACGAAGCACTGACTCTGTCATGTGTTTCATGGACTACAGTACCTGAGAGAATTCCCAGTGTTTTCCTCATGCTCATGTCATAGAGGGCTGTGCCGGCCACAGGCAGCAAGGACTTATCTTTGAATGAAGTGGGATACATCATAAAGACAGGAGATGTGATGTACCCTTGAAAGCTGAGCTAGTTCCACAGAGGGCAGGGCTGTCCAATGGAGGGAGGGCAGTGGCTGGGGCCAGAGTGGGCATGGTAAAGGGGTCAAGATGTCAGACTCTGTAAGAGCAACAAAATCTGTGATAAGAGGAATGAGCATGTTTTAAAAAAGAGAATGGGGGTAAAGACAACAGTGTTCAGGGCCCACGAGTTGGTCTCTGCTAGCTTCAGTTGGGCAGTAAGTGACACAGTGTCTGAAGTTTACATTTTACACATCTGAGCCTCAGAGGAGTGTTAGGGGAACGCTGTAAACTGAGTACAGGCTGTGGGAGCCAGTGCAGTGATTGAACACTGGCTTCCCAGTACTCAGCCAGTGGTGTGACTCTGGGTGATGTGGGGTGTCCTTTGGTATATGTGTTCCTTTTATTGGTTAATGAATGAAGCTACTTTGGCCTATGGCAGAGCAGGATATAGCCAGGCTGGAAGAGATATATAAAGAGAGTAGGTGGAGTCAAAGAGATGCCATGTAGCTGCCGAAGGAGAAAGATGCCGGGAACACCAGAATCTTACTGGTAAGTTACAGCCTTGTGGTAATACCCAGAATAATAAAAATGGGTTAATTTAAGATAGAAGAGTTAGCCAGGAATATGCCTAAGCTATTGGCCAAAGAGTGTTGTAATTAATATAGTTTCCGTGTGATTATTTTGGTCTGGACAGCTGGGAACAAATGAGCAGTCTCCGTCTGCAGCTGGGCACCTTTCTGAACTAGTCCCACACTGTGGAGGAGAGGTAGGAATCAGGCTGTTTGTTGTTGTGTCAGGATGCTCAGAGCGGAGCTGGCACACTGTCCGACTGTGGACCTGAACTTAACTATTACTCATTCATGCAAGCTTTTCAGAAATAGCAATGTCGATTGAAAGGACACAAAAGAAGGGACCACTTCCTGAAAAGAGACAAGACAGAAAACACCTTGGCAGGACTGACAACATAATTTGCATGGCTGCCTGTGAAAAATAAGATTGTAGAGCCCTCTAAGGGAGAGATCCAGGCCGGGAGTGGGAGCACATACCTGTAATTCCAGCTGCTTGGGAGGCTGAGGCAGGAGGATCCTGAGCTTGAAGGAAGCCTGGCAACACAGTGAGACCCCGGTACCCTATCTATATAGAAAAAGAGAATGTGTCAGGTTCTTCTGCCTGGCTGACAAAAGAAAGTCATCTGTTGCATTCCAAACTGAGAGAATACATGTGCTGCTTTCTTCATGTGGCCTGTGCTTGGATTCCAGGGTGTTTTATTTCTCCCACTTCCGGCTGTGTATAAAATGACATTAAAAGTGCAGTTTGTGTGGGGTGGGGATGTGGGGGAGTCAAAGAGGGGGATAGAGGGGTGGGAGCGTGAGCGGGCTGAGGGACTCCCTTGGGCACTGAACATGGAGGACTCTTGCAAGTCCAGATCTCAGTGAAGAGGCGCTGATGGGTCCAATTTTCCCACAGAATATGGAAATGTAAACATGAATTATTAGCATGATTAAAGGAATGCAAACAGCAACTAAGCCACCATCCTCCACCACCGTTCATCAGTGTTTGCAATTAGTGCTCTCTCTTTATTTGCAGCCAAAGGAAAGAGGAAAAGAACAAGGAAGAGAAAAAAAGAAGAGGAGAAGCCTCAGAATGACATGCAAAAGCAACAAAATGATTGATGGAAGCAGACGGCTCCCTGGTGGTTTGCTTTATTAGTTTCTTCTAAGTGTATATGCCTAAGTAATTATTTCAAGATTAAATCAAATATTTAAATTAAGATAAAGATAAAATTAAGGCCAAATGACTAGAAGCAGAATGGCTACATCAACTAATCAGCTCAGATGAAATTTGATCCGTATTTCTGAATTGCCTCCATACATAATGTCCTGATCTGATTGGTCCGAGCAATAGCTCATGCTATTTTCATTTGCATGTCTCTAGTGTCCCCTTTTCCTTTTAGAAATTAACCGTGTAGGTTTCTCCTTTTATCAATTACCCATTGAAGTGCTTTGATATTTTTACTTCCCTGTGCTTCCCTCTGATTTTTTTTTTTTTTTGGTAGAATCGAGGCTGTGTTTGTAATCCTTTTCTTTTAAATAGCTGTAAGAATTTTTTTCCTCCTCTTGTAGACCTTTTATGTTTCAACTCTCACAGGAGTTAAGTTCTTGGGGGCTTGGGAGATGACTCAATGAGTGATGTGCTTGCTCTGCAAACATGAGAACATGAGGCCAGGCTCCCCAGCACCCATGTGGAAAGCCAAGCATGGTGACACAAGCCTATAAAGCCATTGCTGGGGGCAGAGGCGGAGGATCCCTGGGGCTTACCAGCCTGCAGCCTGGCCAACTGATGAGCTCCAGTTCCATGAGAGACTGTCTCAGGAAATAAAGTCAAGAGCACAGAAGAAGACACCTGCCATTGCCCTTTCTGTTTGTGTATCCGTGGGCATACAAATAAACCACACACACCACACACATCCACACACGGCACACACAAACACAAACAAGAAAAAGACGTTGTGTAAATTTTTACATATGCAATTATTTCTGTTTCTTTCATGTTTTTCTGTATATTTTCAATGATATGTTAGAAAACTAGAACAACAACAACCACAAAATCCCTGTATCCTCACTTGATTATTTGCACATTCATGAAGGAACAGGGACATGTGAGATAGTGGAAGTGTATTGGTAAACAAGTCAACCGTATCCTCACCAATGGAGCTTAGATATCCACCAACACCTGTTCTTCCTCTACTCAGATCTCAGGATCCCAGCAATCTGCACCAACCAGAGCCTCAGTAGTTGAGCTCCCAAGGGCAGTAAACTCTGAAAACAAGGCCAACTCATTGTAAATTCTGACAGTTTAAGTTCAGCGGATGTCTTTTTGTCTGGTGAAACCCTGGAACCTTGGTTGCTCCACTCTAAGCGATCATGGAATCCCCTGGACGAGTGTGAAATGTCATCGACCACTGATGGAAAGCTTGACTGGGATGCCTTTGCTGTTGCCATCTTTCTGTTACACTGTACACTGGAGAAAAGAGCCGTAGCTAATCTTGCCTCTAGCCTTGGCACCACCTTCCAAGAGAAAACTGTGGGTTGTATCCTGTGAAAAAAAATGAAAAGTGACTAAATTTGCACAGACACCGATAAAGATGTGGGTGGTTTGGGTCTGTACCATGATGCATGGAACCTTCCTGAAAACAGGTTGGCTTCATTTGCTCAATGACCTTTCAACATTCTGTGTCACAAAGCACTGTGGGTAGATTTTAAAAGCTTTTTGTTGTCTTGTATTTTTCACTTGATTAAGAATTAATAGAGAACATTGATCCCCCTTGAATGGTTAGTCCAGAAATGATCCCACCACCAGCTAGGACCTCTGACACAAAGCGACCTTTACCACATTGTGAAGGGCAGCAATAAAAATCTCTTTCTTCAGCTGCCTGGAACTCTGTCAGAAAGACGATTGCTAAACAAATGTGTGTAAAGAAGCATCTGTCAGATTGAACATGGACCACCAGCACTGCCACCAAAGGTCAGAGCAACAAAACCTGTCCCCTCTATGTGAGAAAGCATTTATCAACAAAGGGGGTTCTTATGATCCCTCCCCTTAAAAAAAAAAGATGTGTGTGTCTGTCTGGGTGTGTGTGTGTGTGTGTGTGTGTGTGTGTGTGTGTGTGCAGTGTGTATAGAGTATATGTATGCATGTGCTTGAGGAGGCCAATAGAGGGCATCAGATACTCTGGAACTGGAGTTGCATGGGGTTTCAAGCCTCCCAATATGGGTGTTAGGAATTAAATCTGAGTCCTCTTCAAGAGCAGCAAGTGCTCTTGGCTTTTGAGCCGTCTGTTTAAGTCCCTCTTCTGCTCACTTTAAATGGAATGATGGAGTCCAGCCTTTCCCAGACAAATGGCTCCAAAATAAAAGTTCCTGGAAAGTTTGGGGATCCATTCAGCTCTTCTACTGCTGTTACTGATGCACAGGGTAACCCCAGCAATTTTTCTCACTTCAGTGTTCAGTTTTAGGAAGGTAGGGCTGAATGGGCAAGAAGAATCTGAGCGACAAAAAGTCAAGGATGAACCAGTGAGAATTGGAGAATGAGAACTGGCTCTTGTAAACTCTCAAAGCAATAAAGAATTCTCTTGTCCTTTGACTGCAATACAATATACTTCTTCCTGAACACTGGAATATTTACCGCATGTATCAGAAGTACCAGTCAGGGACTAGAAAAATGGCCCAGCACACTGCCTGTGCTCCCAGAGGATCTTGATGGATTCCCAGCATCCATATAGTATCTCATTACTACCTCTAACTCCAGTTCTGGGGGATCGGGTGCCTTCTTCTGGCCTCTGTAGATTATGTATACAAGTGAATCACACACACACACACACACACACATATAATACATACACATACATATATACATACAGGCAAAGCACCCATACAAGTAATTAATAATAATAATAGTAACACATAATAATAAATAACCACCATCAGCATGAGGATACAAAAGGTTTTAATTCCTTAAACCATAAATAAATGAAAGTATAGTTTAAATAAATCTATTGCAAGTATTTTTTTTTTCTCTGAAAGTAGTAACACCATCAGACATTCTCATCTGGGTCCATGTTCCCTGGTCTGGCACGTATTTACTGTAAGGTTTTTTGCTGCAATGAGATGCAAAGCTACAGCACCCAAGCTAATTCCTTCTGGAATTTAGGGGAAGTACTGTCAGCCAGCACCACCCTTGTTCTAGAATTATGCTGTGGGATTTTTAAGGTTTGCTGTATTCTCCTCTGGTTTTAAAGAAAGAAAGGAAAGAATTCTGCTTGTCTTATGGCCAAGGCATATTGGCTAGTTGAAGCTCTGTATGTTTTCTTGTATTTTTGTTTGGTTTGGTTTGGTGGGTGTGGTTTGGTTTTACAGTACTGGGGACTGAACCCAGGGCCTCTTGCGTGCTCCAGAGCTCTACTGTTGTGCTGTGTTCTGCTCTATCTTGATCTTTAGCTACAGAGAGAACATCATGCACAACTCAATTGTTCTACTAAAAAAATAAAGATGCATTTGACTACTTAACCGAACCATTATGGCATCAGATAAAAATTTAAAAGGAATCATGAAAGCCTCTGTCTTGGCTAGGGTTTGATAGCTGTGAAGATCGCCATAACTACAGCACTCTTATTAAAAGAGTGTTTAATTGGGACCAGCTTATGTTTCAGAGGTTTAGCCCATTATCCTCATGGCAGGAAGCATGCGGCACACAGGGTAACACAGGCTAGAGTGGTAGCTGAGAGAGTTCTACATCTGGATCAGCAGGCAGCAGGAAGAGAGACACTGGGTCTGGCTGGAGCATCTGAAACCTCAAATCCCACCCCCAGGGACACACTTCCTCCAGCTAAGCCATATCTACTCCAACAAGGCCACATGCCCTAATCCCTTCAAATAATGCCACTCCCTATGAGTCTATGAAGGCCCTGTTCACAAACTACTACAGCCTCATATGTGAAATAGATTTACAAACTTTTCTTATCTTTATAATGTGAGTGCATGTTCATGTGTGTGAAGGTACCCATGCCATAGCACAAGTGTGGGAGTCAGAGGATGTCAGTCTCCATCTTTTACCTCCTGTGGTTCACCACTGTGTCCTACAGGCTAGTTGGCCCCTCAGGAATTTCCCCCTCTCTCCTGTTTTCTTTCCACAGGACACTGGGATGACAGATACATGCTGTTATATCTGCTTTTGACCTGACTGTTAGGGATTCCTAGTCAAGTTCTCCGGCTTGCACAGCAAGCACCGCTGAGCCCACTGAGCCATCTCCTCAGCCAGAGAAATATATTTTTAAAAACACTTCCTTCTGGATTTAAAGACCTGTAGGTCATCATAGACCTTTCCGAGTGTTTTCTATTTACAAAACTGGCTTCTTACAAATAAAACTGGTAAATGTTCATTTTAATCCTGGGGAGTAGAGAGAGTTTAATCTCTTAAAACACTCCCATGGGTACACGGTAAGGCAGACTTCCAGTCTTTGCTGTAGGGTAAAGCAGACTTCTGGCCTTTGATTTTTTCAGTTTGGGAGAGGCTTGTTCTCAAACTTTCTCCAGAGCTAGCACTGGAAGGCACTTCAACTGTTTGAATGGTAAAGCTTCCAGTGAACTCAAGTGGAAAGGGGCTTGTAGTGTATGCATTTAATTTTGGTCTAAACAGTTCGTCTGTTTTGCTCATTTTTTACCTATAAGAGTAGCAAGATAACAAAATGTTTACTACCTTTTTTTTTTTTAATTGGTAAAGAGAGAGAAAAGAAGAACTTACCTAGCTGTTAGAACTTTCCTTGTATTAAAACCTCGTTTTCTGTTAAACTGACTTAGAAGAAAAGTAGAATTTAGACTGGAGTGTAAAGAGGCTAACTGCCATAGAACAATCTTAATTTCGCGATGTTGTGTCCTCAGTGCCATGAGGTTTTGGATACCAAGTTTTTTAAAGTATCCCCCGACACACACTAATTAAAATTCCCTGGGCTTACCACATTGAGGTGATATTGACTCATCTTAATCAGAGTAATTTGCTGTCTGATGTATAAATAAATACCAAAATATTCTAATCAATTTCAACTTGAAATTACGGTCCCTCCCCAGACCTTTCCACGCGTCATTCAGGAGACTGGTGTTTAAAACCCCTTCACACGACAGACATAAGTTACTTTCTTGAATATCTACATTTTCATACTTTCAGTAAATAAGGCATTTCACTCTAAACCTTACCTGTAGGAAGTAACACAGGTAAGTTGATCTTCTTTTGCACTGAGAGAACAAAGGATGTTTGAAATGCTTTCGAAATATCTTTATTTTAGGAAAACCCTGGGAAATATGACGTCCCTGTAGCTTATCAGCACAGGTGTAATACAGGTACCCTCATTTTATGATGGTTAGGTGGACTATACAGATGTCTGTCTTTCGTGAACATGCATTCCTCAGTGGACCAACAGAATGTTATGGTATGTGTATGTTCTATGGCTATATCCATTTCTTCACGCTGTGTGTGCAGGGCGATTGTCTTAGAGCCGTTTGTGTTTTCTGTGGTGTTGACTCTGTGCCTGCACTTGAAAGGGACAATAGGCATTACTGAAGCTAAGTGGCATCTTCTACTTCCTGGTTCAGCTCAATTGGGCAGCATTTTCTGTTATGTTTCCGACTTACAGCTTGTGGTCATGAATATAATAAACTTGAAGTCCAAGTGAAAAAGAGCCAGACTCTCCCACCCCCTTCGTCTGGAGAAGGTGGGTCCTGCACACTGGCCCTTGCAAGGTTCTTAGAGCCACATCCAAGGGAGGGAAGCGATGGCTGTTTCCCAGGTGTGTGCAACAGCATCGCCAAGCCCACATGTCTCTAGCAATCATGAAAAGTCACAGCCGGTACAGAAAACAGAACGTGGGCTCTGAGCCCAGTGCCTTCTGGGACTCAGGTCCGACCCAGGGCCCACGCTCTCTCTGTAAGTGAGAGAAGGAATTTTTCCCTCAGTTTTCACTACTCTTCTAAAATTTTAAACACATTATTTTTTGTCTTTCAGACACAAAGCTCCTTTTTAATTTTCCATTTTACTTTCTACAAATAAATAAGAATTAACATAAACTATGTTACACTAGACTATGGTGTCCCTTCTGTGAATTTATTTGTACAGAGACCTTTAATTGGGCATTGCTGACATGCTGGTAATAATCGATCTATTTGTTCCACCGTGAGCTGGGAATCAAATCCCCCAGTCTGAAGGGATCGTTTATATATCTTTTACAGATTCATTAAATAAAGCAAGCAAAAAAATTCATAACTGCACAATATTACCAAAACACTTCCCAGAATGAATTGTGAGTCTTCATTGGCTGGTGCAGTAATTAAATCACACGCTGTAAAGTAATACAGAAAATGAATTCATTCGTTTTTAATGAAATTCATTATTTTCAGCTTTAGACATTAAAACTAGAAAATTTCTCTATTTAAGGCCAAGTGCTTTCCAAGCTAATCCTAGGGAGCAGAATTCTTAATGTGGCTGAGAGCTGGAAACGCGGAGTTCCTCCCCACCAGGCCGCTCTGACGCCCAGCCCCCAACCCTTTTATCGGATTCCGAAACCGCCTCCGACATAATTGGGTTTCTTAAGACCCAGTTCCTCGCTGGCCGCGACTGGGAACAAAGAGGACTGAACTGAGGAAATAATTACTTTTAATGAGAGAGACACTGGGGAAGTGTAGGAGCGGCTTCCTCTGTTTCCTTTGATCTAAAATAATGAACGTTCATGCAGCAACTAGAGCGGAAAGATTACAGGCAGCGAGTCCTAAACATAGGCGACACTTTGGGAAAGGGGAAGACTAAAAATCTAATGAAATCTTTCTCCTCAAACCGTGTTCACAACGGGGCTTGCTCCGCCACGACACGGCATCCTAGAGCTTTGTATTTTAAACCATTGTACGGACGAGATTCTTCGGTTCTGTGAAATACGTGCAGCCAGGGGTGCACGAAGGGGCGGGTTTGCGTGTTTCTCTTTCTTTGAGTCATCGATGTAGAATTCTTTCAATGTTTTTTTTTTTTTTTTACAGGATATGACAGAGATGTTTAAAACATTTTTTATCTTATTTTTTCCCCCGACGTTTGCATGAAGAGTATACTGCCCGCACTGTCTTCTGTCACGAAAGAATTGTGAGTCTCCCCCAGGGGAAGATAACACCACACTGGATCCCATTTTTACAGTGCAGGAGCTGATGGGCTGGGTAAATCTTTGTCTAAATGCATGGCATCAATAAATCAGCAGTGAGTCCACCACTGAAATGCGTCCTCTGTTCACATTTGATTTTCTTTGTACCTAATCCTTTGTAAGGATGAATGTCTGTATCAGCTAGGAGAAACTACACAGGAGTAATATGTAAGCCTTGATATCTTGGCTGCTATAAGTTGTGTTCCTTTTGGGGACAGGGGAGACAGCTCAGTAGTTAAAGCAATTGCCCCAAATCAAGAGGACTAGAGTTCAGATCTCCAGAAGCTGCATAGATGCAGATGGTTGTGGTGACCCACTCACCTGTAACTCCAGTCTCACAATTTAGGAGTTGGGATCTGAAAAGGCAAGTTGGTTAATAAAGCTGTCCATATAAGGGGACTCTGGGTTTAACCTGGAGACTGCTTCACAATATAAAGTGGAAGAGCAATCTGGAAGATTCCTGGCATCAACCTCAGACACACACACGCACATACACACAGACACACATACATACATACACACAGACACACACACACACATACATACATACACACAGACACACATACACACAGACACACATACATACATACACACAGACACACATACATACATACACACAGACACAATACATACATACACACAGACACACATACAGACACACATACATACAGACACACTTACATACATACACACAGACACATACACATACATACATACACACAGACACACATACATACATACACACAGACACACATACAGACACACAGACACACATACATACATACACACAGACACACATACATACATACACACATACACACATACATACATACATACACATAGACACACATACATACATACACACAGACACACATACAGACACACATACATACAGACACACATACAGACACACTTACATACATACACACAGACACACACATACATACACACAGACACACATACATACATACACACAGACACACATACATACATACACACAGACACACATACATACATACATACACACAGACACACATACATACATACACACAGACACACATACATACATACATACACACAGGCACACATACATACATACACACAGACACACATATATACATACACACAGACACACATACATACACACAGATATGCACCCCCTCATGCCTGCACACATGTATATCCCTATACATGCAAACACACATATACATGTATATTATTCACATATAAAGAAGAAGAAAAGGAATAGAAAAGCAAAGTTTGTTTTCATGATAATGCAAAGGCCATTGTGGATAAGGTGGCTGTCCCTCACTTCTCTTCTCCAAGTAGTGGAGTTGTTTCCTTTTAAGGTCATGTTACTTGAGCTCAAGGCACCATTGTTGCTGCTAGGGGAAGTAATAGATGGCACAGGAAGCCACACTGTCAACTGTGTTGACCTAGAAACAACACATTGGATCTACTTGGTTATTCCATGCCTTACTGACCACCTGGCTTCCCCAGCAGTGAGGCTAGACTGGAGCCCAGCATCCTGAGAGTAAGTTTGCCCTGGAGATGTAACTTCCATATAGTATTCTGTTCTGGAACTATGCCGTGATTATTTAAACCAATACTTTATTGTTAGAAATTATGATTATTTAAAAATTTGCATATTATTAAAACTTATGCCATGGATTCCAGAGGAAACTCAAAAACTAATGCAATTTCTGGTTATTTCAGTGTAGTGTATTAAGAATACATGGACTTTCCCAAAGTAGGTTTCCTTTCTGAAAAAGCAGACCCATTAGGTCCAACCTTGTCTCCCCGGGCACTTTGCACAATGCACGGGAGTGCTTTGGTTTTCCAACTGGTGGATAGGAACATCCAGCACCTCTACCCAGATAGTAGAGGTCAAGCAGAGACATAGGGAATGTTTATGCAGTCCAGACATCAATATGAATGGCGTCAGCAAACCTTGTATGATGGAGAGATTCAGTTTTACATCTCAATTATGAGTAATTTTTTTGTCTGTGAAGGTCCCACAATGGCTAAATTTTTTGCTGCCTTGCCCAATAAGGACCAGTGTTTGGATCACCAGAACCCACATAATGAAAAGTGGGTCCTGTGACTACCTATAATTCCAGTGCTGGAACGGAAGAGACAGGATACTTAGAGCAAGTTGGCGAGCCAGACCAGCCTATTGGCAGTGATGTGTTCCACTGAGGGATGCTGAGTCAATCAATAGGATGGAGACAGATGTGTATTTCTAGAAGATGCTTGCTCTTCCACACTGTTCCTGCAAACTTACTGGATGCTGTGTCATGGAAAACGGTAGCAGTAACAAGCTTAGGTTTATGGAGTCCTTAGCATGTACTATCTTGCTACAATGTGTCCATTGAATATTAGTGTACACATGGCGCTTTGCATATATAAAAGAATATAACAAAAAATCCATTTGTAACCTCCTTCTAAAAGCAGTTTGTATATGCCTTTTAAAACCTTGTATTATGAAACAAATTCAGACGCACAGCAAGTTGTAAAAGTAGGGCAAACAGCTTTATCCCGAGTATAAGAAGGAGAGATGCTGGCCTGAGGCTTCAACTCCAGCCCCCAAGTGTTGTAGTAGACATCCTCCCTCCTATCCACAAACACAGCCATCAATACCAGGACGTTAACATTGGTGCCCCGTTCATCTCAGATTCCATCAACTGATTCAAATGTCCCAAATATCAAAAAGGTTCAGGCTGGAGCCACAGGGTGCAGTTAATTTTCTCTTCACTCTTGCTTATGATAGAGTTCCTCAGCACTGCCTCGTCTGCGTGACCTTGCTGCTTTGAAGGTCAGTTATTTGATAGATTGTCTCTGAGCTGAGGTTCACTCGCTATTGCCTCAGGTTTGGACTCAGGGTGCAGCTTACACGCAATGCAGAAGTATGTTGCTGTGGTCTTTGTGTCCTGTCAGGTGGTATGAGTTCAGCCTGTGCTGTCAGTCACTCGGCTAACTTTGCCTTGTTAAAGGATGTTGATCCTGTCTCTACCATAAAGCAACTTTTTTCCCCTTTTTAATTAATAAACATTTGTAGGAAGGCATTTTGAAGTTATACATTATTCTGTTTTTTCCAAGCTTCAAATTCATTCCTTCATTCATTTACTTCATTACAAACTCCTAGATTCTGTAGGAATTATAATTCATTAGCATCATATAATTTTATATGTCTTTATTATTTATGTGTGTATATGCCCGTGTGAGTTTATGGGTACCATGTGCATGAAGGAACTCTAGGAGGTCAGAAGAAGGCATTGGATCCCCTAGGACTGGAGCTACAGGCAGTTGTAAGAAGCCATGAAGGTACTGAGAACTTACCTTGAGTCCTCTGCAAGAGCAATAAGGGCTCTTAACCTCTTAGCCATCTCTTCAGCCCATAACTTGTTTCGATTCACTGATTACCCCAGACCTGCTCAACCTACTCAAGCTGCCGTCGTATTTTCTACACGCTACTTTCATTCTCTGAGCACTTCTTGATTTTGACAAAGTAAGAATGTTCAGGCTATTTTCCTGCCCCAGATCTGGTACAATTCATACAATGATCTTTGGTTCTTTTAGTACTGAAATGTGTTTATAAACCAAAATCTAGACACTAGGTATGTTCATTGCTACTAATACTGCAGCGCTTTCTGAGTTCTTAGTGAACAGAGAGTAAATCTATGGTGAATCTATAAATAGACAAGCGTACACGTATGCACATACACATGCCTGCACGCACACGCTGCTGCCTAATAGTTTCCTCCAAAGTTGAAACATTCCATGCTGCAGTTAGCAGGAAGGTAAAGAATTCAAAATAGCTTCAGGAATTCCCTGAAACTGACAAGATTCTCTAGGCCCCTCCCTGCCAGAGTAGAAAGGCTGAGAGTCCCGCTCAGAGGAACCAAGCTGAGACACAAAGAAGACTCTGAGACCAGCCCAGCTGCCTGGAGCAGGTTTAGAGGAGAGTCACTGAGAAGGGATGCTCTTTAACCGGTTGAGCTGCCTGTGTGCTGCTCAGTGAGCTCCAGGATCCCAGCTTTTGTGAGCTGCCACACACGCTGGGGTAGACTTCAGTGATGCAGCTGTCTTTAAGTCATTTCTGCTTCTGCAAGCAGCCTCTCACCTATATTACTGCAAATAAAACTCACAGGTCCCAAGTTGGTTTTTGGTAGCATCTGTACTTTGGTGTGTTGTCACACAGCACAGGCACACACCTATACATTCCACCTTTACCTATTCCCATAATTATTGACAGAAAATTTACATCCCGAGTCCATGCCAATATTCCCAACTCCAAAAGCATGGTTTATTGTAGGCTTCCTCCAGTGCCTACCACTACTTTATTGTTCAACTGTAAGAGCCAAGTCTCATAGTAGCCTCCATTTGTTCACTAATGTGATCCAGCACGCCAGCTAACATTTTCCTACTGGCTGTGTGTAGCCACCAGGTTTAGGGCTCTGAACCCTTAAAATGTCCACTCTTACATGTGCTTCCTTCTCTTGCTTGCTCTAGACGGGGTATCGCTGTGTTGCTAAGGCTCTGCATGAGCTGGTAGGTTTGTTCACTCCTCCCCCCCCCCCCCCGCAGCTGACGTCAGAACTGGAACTATCAACACACGCCGCCTTGCCTGACTTCTCTGTAGTTTTGAGCCTTGTTCTGAGCCAATTCCAAAGATGCCTTTGTCTGACTTGACTCTGGGACCCTACCAAGGACCTCCACTTTCCATGGATGTCTTCCCCATCCCAAGTTGAAATGATCTGGCCCTAGCGAGAGGAGAACACGAGATGCGAACAAACCCACTTAGGAGTTTATCAGAGGGGGAAAGTACACACGGGCCTAGGAAAAACGGTGTACAGAGAGGGAGAGAGGCTGCCTCTCTGAGGACAGAGAGAGCAAAGGTGGAGGTCCGGCTTTTAAAGGCTGCCTAGCACATGCGCACAGGGGG